TCCCGCCGCCTAACAGCCGCTGAGCCCCGCAGTTCCAGTTGGCGTGACCTGATTTCTTCAGGACTCGCTGTCCGCATTGGTAAATGGGATTAGTAAAGTGAGAATGGTGTTAAACGAGACCCTTCCTGTAAACGGGCAGTCCTTTGTACACCTTCAAACTAACCAAATAACTAAGTGACCGAGCGAGGCTCTTGGTGCAGCTCCCTTTCCTTTCTCCAGTCAGACCACTGTCCCCTGAGTCGCACTTGCTTAAAAACTGCGACCTGAGCAACAATTCCAGAAAGTTCAGAGAATGATTAAAGAACTAGAAATTCAGTTATGACTCACTAGGCATCACGTAGGCCCAAGAGAGTTTGAAAACTCCCGCGAGTAAGGGCGGAGGCAGGGACTCACGAACAGTTTTCATTTGCTACTTGGCTTTCTGATTTGTCAGAGATGTTTTGCCCTCCAAAGGGCAAAAATGCCTGAAATTAGTGAAGAAAAAGAAACGTTAACTCCCAGGAAAGAAATAATCAACCTGAGAAAGCTCCAGAAACTGCAAACACCCTGGGAAGAGGGTGGGGTAGGGAAGAGAGTATACAGACTTGTGGTCAAGGTTCCCTCGCCTTAGAGGCCGGTGAAAATCATTTCTCTTACAAAAAAAGAGCAACTCAGATCCAGCAACGTTTGCTTAAACCACACTGTCAACTTCACACGTACGACTTCAGCATCCAACCCCAGAAAATGGGTGTTTTTATTGATAAAGCCATCTAACAAAACCATCTATGAATGGGATCGTTTAATACTAATGCGCATTCCAGTTTCCTGTCATCAGTACTCGAGGTGCTGCGCTTGGTTGCTCTCTCGGACACCATGAGTTTTACTTGCTCCCGATGTCCACACCACGACTGAGCGACAGTCAAACGACGGCTTCGTTCGTGGTTTGTTTACCGAGTACCCAGCACCTATCTTCGCGGGAAACTTGGAACTGGGGAAGGTCGCCATCCGCCCCTCCCCTCCCCCCAAGTCGGCCACCCCTGCTCCTCTAGGAGACGTGGCGCTGCCGGCGTCCAAACCCGGAGAGGCCCTGGCTGCCCGCCCCTCGCAGGAGCGGACGCCCACCCCAGGATGCGGGCTGCTTCCCGGCGCCCGGATCTGCCCCGAGTTTCTCCAATTCGCTTTCGGCGCGGGTTTTGACATCTTCTCCACGATTGGTCCGAGGAGGTCAGGCTCCGCCCTCGACTCCCGAGAGGCTCCACTTAATCGCCCACCCTCGGACCCCGCCCACCCTCGGGCCCCGCCCTCCCGCTGCCCGCGCTCGGCGAGCACACTCCCCAGCCTGAGCGCATTTGCTCCCTCGCCTTGAGTTAAAGTTAGCAAGATTTCCTTTTTTTCTTTTTTTTTTGGCACGGGGGCTTGAATTCCGGGGACGCTTAACCACCGAGCCACATCTCCAGCCCTTTTTGTTTTTTTATTTTGAGACCAGATCTCACTAAAT